CCGATAGCTTCATTTCCTTTGTCAAGCCACACTTGAATCACAGCCCTAGTGGACATGCAATACTGCTTTCCTAACCATATCTGTTTAAAGCATTCTTCCTTAAACTGTTGCTCTTCAGATGGGTTGAATAACAACTTCCAAAATTCCCAGCCAGCATAGAAAGGAATAAGGAAAGGGTGATTTATAAAATGAAATTATTTTGCAAATTCTCAAATTGGCTTAAGTACATTGTCACACATTTCATTTTAGCCTCCAAAAGTCAGAATAAATGTAATCATTATTATTATGCAAATGAGGAGGAGGCTATCGTGAGGGAGGACTTGCTGGCTTACTGATCCTCCCCCCATGGATTCTGCCCAGTGTTTATAGCATTACTATGCACTTGTAGCTTGACTGATCACAGACTTTTTAAAAGAAAACTGTGCATGCCTTTGTGGCATTAGTGATGTTCTAAATACAACAACTGTTTACTATATTGAATTAATGAAATCTTCCTTATATGTGTTCTTAGCATTTACAAGGTCGTCTTGTTTTTGCACTATGCTTATTTAGTTTTTACAGCAAAGTTATCAATGCATGATATGATGAAAGGTTTTATGAACCGGCTTGTTGTACAGCCTGACACACATCAGGGCTGAGATGGAGGGAATGGCCCAAGGTCACTCAGCTAACCTCTCTGCCTAAAGGAGGACTGGGTCTCCCTGCTCCTAGTATATTTTAAGACACATTAATAGGAAATATTGTGGTGAATCAAGGCCAGGCCCATCTTAGTCTAACATTTTGCTTCTCACAGTGGCCAAAATGGGATATATCAATAAAGATTTATAATACTATATTAATTTTAGTTAACTATAAGATATATATTCAAATGCATTCAGAAAATATCCTCCAGGAAGTTTTTAAAAGTGTTCTACATTTCTTTTTCAAAACAGCTTTTCCTTATATCATATAGTGTTGAATCTCAGGACCTATTTATTATTGGAATTTGCACAGATCTTCTGCTTGAAATCTTTTTTGTTGTTAGACCCAAGCAGTTATATATTTATAGAAGCATTTTATATGAGCTCTTGGCATTTTGTAATTAGATGCAATGTTTTAGTATGTACAGTTAATAAATAAGCATGAATAGAGCAATGGATGAAAGAGAATTACAAATAAACTAGGCCATTAACTTAGCTAGGTCAGAAAGATCCTGACATTTCAAAAACTAGAATCTTTCCAACTGATTTATAGAAGAACTGTAATATATAAATTTAAATTGCTTTGGAAACATTTTTAACTTCACTGTGCATTGCTCTTTGGCTTCATCTAAGCAATTTGAAATGTTAATTCATGGATAATGTTTAGATTTGAAAAAAAGGATTTCTAGACAACATTAACTGGATAGTAAAGAGGTTATTGGCTTTTTTCCCCTATTCAGAAACAAGCAATGTTACATATTTTAGGATCCTAAACTGAGTACTTTCAATGTATTGTGTGCTTTCAAATATATGATTCACCATAGTTCTCAGAATCCAGGAAGGAAAATAAATCCTATAAGCAAACCAAAATTCATGTTAGATAAATTTGAATGAAAGTAATAAATGTATTTTAAATGGGGATGCACAAACTAAAACAACAATATACCAGATTTTTGCAATGTGCATGAAAACTTAAACAATGAGAGTACAAATAACAAATTGTGATCTAGTCTGCAGAGAGTAATATGTCAATGCTTCTAAAGCTAGATTCCTTTTAACCTATATGTTGCAGTGGGGAAGGCAAATAATTAATGGTAATGTATGGACATCAATATGTATGACCCCAACATTTAAAATATACAGTATTTATATTTTCAAGAACAGAAAATCCCTTACTATGTAATACCAGAGAAAAGATCTGCAAGTTAATACTATTAAATAATATGCTGCTGCTATAATTTACATCTTTGTATGGGGCCTTGAGATTTAAAACTAGGTAGTCAAATCAAATCAAATCAAATCAAAGTTTATTGATTAGCCCTTAGGCCATATCAAAATACAGAATTTCAAACACAAAATATTGATAAAACCCTTTATAAAAACAAAGTAAAATGGAAATAAAGTACGGTGATTAAGTATACAGATAAGTGAGAGTACAGATAGTCCTTGACTTATGACCATTTGTTTAATGACTGTTCAAAGTTACAATGGTGCTGAAAAAAGTGACTTATGACCAGTCCTCGCACTTACAACTGTCACAGCGTCCCCATAGTCACGTGATAACAATTCAGGCACTTAGCAACCAGCATGTATTTACAATGGTTGCAACATCCCAGGCTCACATGATCACTATTTGCAACCTTTTCAGAGGGCTTCTGACAAGAAAAGTCAGTGGGGGAAGCCATTAATCTCTGTGGGGGAAATGGTTACATAGAAATTTTTAGCTAAAATTTAGAATTAATTGGTTACTTTATCACCCACAGATATTGTTCTGGAAAAAAAAAACTGGTGAATGGAAAAGAAAAACAAGCAAATAGGTATTTGAGCTGAAATGAAGTGCTAGAATGAAATCATATTAGGGGGATGATCTGCAAGAGACTGATGAACATTTTCAACTTAGCTGACCATTGATACTGTTACAATAATTCTACTATTGAATAAAAGTCAGTTTTGAGTGTCAAAAGCAAAAAACAACAAAACATTAAGCCTAGAAAGAAAAAAATGTATTAGGTATATAACAACAACAACAACAATCATTTGAAGGATAGTGAAGAAGATGCACTGAAGCTAGTACACCATGAAGGCTTACTGAATACCGAAGAGACCAAACTGGCCTATAAGAAAGACCAAATGAAGAATGGAAAAGAGGCATGGCAAGGCACAGTATTACATGGCCAGTACACAAAAAAAAACGAGCAGGCAAAGCAGATAACAACAAGACTTGGCAATGGCTAAGAGCGAAAAGCTGAAGAAAGAGATAGAGGGTTAACTCTGGCTGCCCAAGAACAAATGCATACAAAGCCAGAATTGAGAAGACAGCAACAGACAGCAAATGCCGCCTCTGCAAAGAAGCTGAAGAAACAGTAGACTACCTAGTCAGCTGCTCCAAGAACATCGCACAAACCGACTACAAACAATGGCATGACAAAGTAGCAACAGTAGTGTATTGGAATATCGGCAAGAAATACCATTTACCTGCAAGCAAGAACTGGTGGGATCACAAAACAGACAAAGCAATAAAAAATGAAGCTCTGGGACTTTAGAATTCACACAGATAAGCACCTGCCACATAGCACCTCAGACTTAAGGATTGTAGATAAGAAAGGTCTGCATGGTGGACATTGCAATACTTGGAGACAGCAGAACAGAAGAGAAAGAACTGGAGAAAATCATAAGATATAAAGACCTGCAAACAGAAATAGAACAACTGTGGCAAAAGAAAGTAAAGATAGTACCACTAGTAATAGATGCCTTGGATACAATACCAAAGCATCTGGAGTACCACCTGAAGACCATCGGCATTGACAAAATCACCATAAATCAATTGCAAAAGGCAGCTTTACTTGGAACAGCTTACATTCTGCGATGATACTTTTAACACCATCAAACAACATCTGCCTATCCCAGGTCCTTGGGAAGGACTCGATAGGGGGAGAAAATGCCAAATCCAGTCTAAACATCTGGCTGATTGTGCAACTAATAATAATAATAATATATTAAAGTTATAAATTTATATGTTGTCCAACTTTCAGCGAGTCTGGGAGGTTGACCTGTCCAGACCATGTGTCCCAGGAGAAACTGCTGGTGTTCTGGAAAGTACATAGTGTTGAGACTCACAGGCACTGAGACTCAGAGTGATAAAACAGTATTATAGAATAGGCCCTTCCTTGGAAATCATGCTAGTCCTCTCATTTCTAGCTTCTGGGAAATTGTTCTGGAGATATGCTGATGTGTAATAAAACACCTATGAGGGACTGAAGTTTACTTACTGTGTTTTTCTAGCAGCAACCCTGATTTTAAGTCATCTTAATTTTGACATGTACCCAGGTAGATTGTTTCTTGAGAAGCCTTCTTGGACCTTCAGAATTACTTGTGAGGTCCTTTGATTAGACCTATCTGTAAAGGTCCACATCTCACATATTTTTCTTGATATCAGTTACTTATATAAATAATCCAAACCAAAAAAACATATAGCAGATTTATTCTCTATTCTCCTACAAATTATTTTCTAGAACCTGAATATATCATAATAATATTTAGTTTTATACCTAAACACAATCTAAAATGAAACCCTGCCCCACTTTCTATTGAAAATTACTATGTGATGCTGGAAGCTACCAAAATAAGAACCCTGAAAATCTAGTAGATTATGGAATTTGATTTATTGGAACAATGGTTCAAGTCCAGCTACTATATCACATGATCATTAAGTGAGCTTTGTAACAATAAAGCATGAGATCTGAATTGACAAATTAGAACTAAAAAGATGGAAACTATACAGAGCCATGCAGCTTTAAATCATAATTTCCCCGTTCACTTGGAAGCTCAAATTTACTGTCTAATCTAACTACACATATGTTCATTGTTTTCCTTTAGAAAATTATATACACCAAGAGAAGTTTCAACATTTGAATATTTAATATTCATTAGTCATTTAAAATCAAAATTTTAAAACTATTGTAATAGAACATATTGTACTTTCCAATAAGTTTAAATGTTCACTGTATTCATTCACATTAATTTTCAGAGGTGTTGCCAGGTTCTAAGGGAGCCATGAGACAAGGGAACCTCCAAAAACTCCCAAATCTCTTCTAATTGTTTATCCAAGTTACCTGTCACTCTACCCTTACAACTAATGGGAGCATTTAAGGCACTAGCTGAGTGGATCAGTTGGCTTCTAGGCTAAAGAAGGAGATACAATTTAAAATGAAGTATCATTACCTCTAGTGCATTCTGTTTGAGGTCATTTATGCCCTATGACCTGCACCCACCAAAGTCTATATATCCAGGGGAAAAAAATAAGGGAAAAAAATTACATACCATAATCTGTGATCTTACATGATACCAAATATAGTTCTTTCAAATTCTGTCCTTCTTTAGCAATGACCTCCACACATCTGCAATACATATAAATCTAGATTAAACAAAGTTTGTATAGATTTTATATGACTGAAAACCCAATGGCTACTAGACTGTTAGAATGTCATTGACTAATGGATAATACTGAAACTTTAACTTAATGTGAATACATTCTAATATATTTCAAAATATATAAATTCTCTATTTTTCACTTTGAATTAATTCAAAAAAGTTAACAATATTTTAAAATATTCAATAACATAATGCATCCTATCTCATTTTATTCTTAATTATAAGATATTAAATAAATGGTTCCAAACTAACAACAAAATGTTTAGTAGTAACATAGCACTTTAGATTAAAAAACAATAACACTCAAATTGTTCTGATTTTGAAATACTACTAATTTTTAACTTAAACATTGCACTAACTACAACTGTAAATTTGGACACTCAATTTTTTCCTGTATGCTTCAGTCAGTATTACTGATGGGAACCAACACTAGGGCATAAAATATAAATGTTGACTTGCAGAAGGATATATTAATTGGAAAGGATATTTTGGTTCTAATTCTTTTTGATTACTAGCAGAATTGTATAATTCTGAATTTTACATTATCTTGTTCAAACATGAGAGGAAAAAACAAAAACAATGCATTTAAACAATTTTAGAAATTTCAGTATTTTCATAATAATAATTATTTTATTGCTGAAATGCTTGGTTTGTAATCCAAAACAGGCAACAATTTTCATTAATCAGTTGTATTATCTTCTGAGTTTTTCTCTATATTTCTTAATATCTTGAAAATCATACGAGTGACACAGTAATTTTTTTCCTATTACTAAGTGGGTATATGTAGAGAAAACGGCAATAGTGTTCCTTAAATTATAAACCAAGTTATATTTTCTATTCTAAGATCTTCATAAACAAAATTTGAGATTGAAACGTGTACTATTCAATGTAAAACAGAATGAATGACCAATACTATATATACCGTGAACAGCACTGCTTTTTACCTGTACTTCTACCTTAGTGATGTCAACTGACATCTAGTCACAGAAATAAAGTAAGGTTATATACACAACAACCTTAAACAAAGTTAAAGCATGGAATGCTGTTATGTATTGTCATAAAATATTCTCAACACTCAATACATTTTTATTTTATGCATATTTAAATATCTTAATTAAAATATATGGCTTTCTGCTATTTCTTATGTAAATGCTAAAATATGTATTTAAAAATAATTTAAAAGGGATGCATTTTTCATTACAATTTGCACATTCTCCTGGGAAGTCTCTTCCTTATGCTCTATGTTTATCTATTGGATAAAGATATATTAATGATACTGTAAAATACATGCTATCAAATGGAGTCAAAAGGATTTTGAATTATGGGAAATAATTGTCTATTCTATATGCATAGATAGTTTTTATGTTTTGGACTATCTTGCAAAAGCCTGGAACATGGCATTAGTGACAACTGAAATGAACTAATGAGGAAATATGACTACACAGCTTGCAAGAAAAGTGGTCCTTGGAGACCTTGTTACTGTTTGTGATTCATTTCAGCTAATAGAAGCTGCCAGACATTGGTTCAGAATATTTCACTTTAAAAAATGGAGTTTCAATCACCTTAGCAGTATGAAATGAAATGACACAATTAGAAACAGAACCTGATGAGACTTGAAATGACTATCTGAAAATAGTACTCTGGATCATGGTTATTTTTTACAGCAATTATATTTTACTAAGGTGAAAAAAGTTTATTTAAGATATAAACAAGAAAACATGAAAACTGGAAAAAATTTAATTCTAAAGATGCTATATGTCTCAACACAAGAAAAGCTATATATTTTGAGAAGAATGTATGTACATATCACATTTCCTCTGATGATCTGTAATCATTCACTGTAATTTACAATTGCTAATTATTACTGGTTTTCAGTTATTTTTTGGAAACTGAAGGTGGATTTCTTATATCTTTTTCCCACATTTTGTTTTCTATCTGCATTTTTGAATTTTTATAATTTTATCATCCATCCTTCTGCACTCTCACATAATTGGTATATGAAATTTTTGACCACACTTCATTTACCATTTAGATTTAAGACTGTTAAAACAGACAGATACTGTTTTTATTTATGCATCTCTATAACCTCTGGAATTTTCTATTTCACCAGCTGTTAATATTCTTCTTTGTCCCTAGTCAAACTACTGAATGTTCTCTTTACCATCTAGCCTATTTCTATTTTTTCAATTTGCTCCTCAATTATCTACCCTTCTAGTCAACCCTCCATTTTTTTATATGTTGTTTTTTTTCCTTACTCCTTTCCTATTTTTTCTTCCTAAATCATGTATGCTGTTTTTCCCATATCTACTCCTTCTATATTTTTTTTACCTCAACAATCCCATTTCCCTGATAACCAGTGATAAACTAATACACACACACACACACAATATTTTTTTACCTTTTTGTTATTTTTTTCAGTATAACTTTTATGCAAATTATATGTAATAATCCAAACTGGGAAACAAACTTCTTTTTGATTTTCTTGGTTTTCACTCTTTCAATTTCTTTATATACTGTGCCTATATGAGAATGTTAGCTTCCTGGCAGAGATCATTTCTAAATACATTATCTATGTACAGCACCTAAGTACAGCTACTTAGAAATAAGTAGCAGTGTGTGTATATGTGTGTATGTAAGTGAGAGAGAGAGAGACTGATTGAAGCTCACCTACAATTGTTTAAGTAACTCAAGTTTCTAGTTTTTATAGAACTTCTGCTGTGGATTTCTATGACTACCCCCTTGCACAATATTTTGCCAATATTAGTCATGTTTTTGAAGTTTTTAAATAAATCTCACCCTTGTAAAAAAAAAAAAAAAAGTGCTGTAAAAAAAATCTCTGCTGCATTTTTGGACAGGTGAACACATTTGAAATGTTGTGTATGTTGTTGGTACTTGGGCAAATTGGCTTCTGGGGGAGTTTGTTAATTCACAAAATGGCTACCATGGGGATATAACAGGTTACAAAGGAGTTCCTTCTTGCATTCTCTTCTACCCCTTTGTCCTTGTTTTAGGCAGGTGGGCACACTGGCAACTAAGTACTGGGCTGCAGCTATCCAACATTTTATTTTCTAAGAAAGCTTCTGAGGCCCATTTGGGCTTAGAAGCATGCTTTTAAGTAAGGTGCTGCTGAAGGATGCCTCCTTCCCATTTTTAATAGAAATATTTCAGAGAGATAGACAGGTATATAATCTAGTGGGGAAAAGACCCTCTCAGATGTAAGGGAATGTTCTTCGGACACACTAAATATTCCAATAAATATTTCAAATTATCTAATTGGTGTCTTAATGGAAAATTAACCATTAAAAATGTGATTTTTACTTTATTTTGGCTAGAGATTTATTGTTACATCATAGCTTAACTTAAATTCCAGAGACTGAATCTGAGAAATATATTTTGTGTATAAAAGGATGATAGTGGTAACTGGAGTAAACATTCTTAACAGACAACTATTGCTTCTTGGTCTTTCAGCTAAGATCAAGTATAACAGACAACTGATCATTTAATATCTGCACCTTTGGGTTTATTTTTAACATGCAAAATCACAGAATTTTTATTTATTGGCTTTATATGATACATAAGAACTCAGATTTGTAGCATAGTTATTATTCCGATAGGTGACAAAGTATAAATTTCAAAAGAATGACAACTACACTCAAAATTCTTTCCTTATCCAAGATATGGACTAATAAACTGAAAAGTGAAAAAAAATCTATGTACCAATTTCTCCACAAAGAATGTGGGGTTCTACAATATCAAGTTTTGACAGGTGATGGTTAGAAGCATTCACACTTGTACTGTGGGAAATATAATAAGCTTTTATACATGATTATAGCAGCATTATGGGAAAATATGGGAAAAATTAAAGCCTGATTCTTATTTCATGCACACACATGCACGAATTAAATATATGACATCTGTTGTTGAAATTACATATAGGAGGCTTAAACTGACCACTATTTATACTGCAAATCAATACATGTTTAGCAAAAGTAAAGCCTGTTGCATTCAATAGGAAAATGTGCTTAAGATGCAGCCTCAATCAAGCAAGTCTAAATATGCTGATCCAGCTTCTAGTTCATATACACTGAATTTGGAATACTGAGATAATCATAATCTGACACTTGAGGCCTACCTCTGGGAGAAACAACTTTATGTTTTAGATTCAAATTGTTTGAGAGAAGTTTTCCCTTAAGTATTCCTAAACCACCCCCCTATGGCTATATTTTAATTTCTGTGCTGCTACTCTGTTAGTTGCAACAAAAAGTAGCAAATATTTGCCATAGTATATCAGTGAAAAGAAGGCAAACCTAAAATTCTTAGTCAATTTGAGAATATTTATTTTTAAGGCCTGTCAATAGTGTCTAGCTTACAGTAAACAAGTTTCAAATGGATCTCAGGTAGGTCTCAGAGGAATACTCTACTTTGAGTTGTGGCAACAGCCTACTTCCAGCTGTGACAATCTCACTGTTCCAGTCAGATTGAAAAAATGTATTTTGTGGCTTTGTTTTAGCACTCTCCAAAGACAAATAAACTTTAAAAGCCCCTAAATAGTTTCTTAACTCTGACTGAAATCCAAGCTAAAGAATTAGCATCATGTCTTGATAGGTTCTACCATACCAAGCTAATGGAGTAGCTTTGGTGTTTTACTTTGTATATATGAAGGCCTCATAGGAAAAATATCGAATCTATCAAGAAATCAAAAACTGAGGATCTTCAATGTGTGAGAAATGGCCAAAATAAAAATTATATAACAATAAAGAAAATGTACACCTCACTTGCACCAATGAATTGGTCATACATGTGATCTGTTAACATCTGAATTACTTTTTTTCTGACAAATGATAAAGAAGACTGTATTCAAGCCATCTGTATATGAGAAACCCTCTAGACCTCCTGTGAATAATTATGGGAAAGCAGGGGACAAGATGTTTGGGTTATGGAAATGAAGTGTTTCAAAGAGACTGCC